AATATCATGACATAAATACCTTTGTAGAAATCCAAATTTTTGAAGAAAAATCAACCAAAAATCCATTCTTCTTCTTCATAAAAGCATAACTTTTTGAGAGAGAGAGAGAGTGAGTGAATGAGCTTTTTCTATGTACATTTTTTTTTTCTTATCTTTCCTTTTTCTTTTTATAAATTATTATGTGGGTAATTTTTTCTGGATGTGGTAACTAATTATAATTATAATTTTAAAATTTTACTTAAGTAGGTAATTATAACCGGATAGGATTTCATTATGAGTGACTTACCCGATTAAATTCAATAAATCTTTTTATGGATGATTTTATTTATATTTTTTATGATTTAAATGAATGTCTTTTTACGGTGTGACAGGATGGACTTCATCACAAGAGGAATTTGGTATTAGATTTTTAACATTATGTAGAATAAATAAATATATAAAAATAGATTTGAGAATTTGTTGTAAGTGGCCACAAAATAATAGAGGTTGTATGACAGTTTGAGAAATCATTGATAAATTTGATAAATAACACTGCCTTGTGCTAACACATTTCTTGTCCGTTTCAAAATTGGCATAAATGTACGGTAAACAATTACCACGTGGCATGACTTCTCGTTGCGATTTTTTTTTTTTGCTGTGGAAACCATAACGATCATGTGGGGCTTTTTGCAAGCTTATTATTTTGTGGGGCAGTTTCGTGACAATTTTTGCTTCGGCTGCATCATACTTTATTGGCATTACTAATTGCCACAAAAGTGTAAAAAAAAAAAAAAAAGAAAAAACAACAAAATACTATTTATAACTATATATTGTTCAATTTACATTTGGCTTAAAATTGATCAATACTTTTAATTTTCTTACTTATTGTGTAGTAATTTTTTTTATTTAATTTTTGAAAATTAAACTATTGAGTAAGCTAATAATATATATCTTCGATGAAGTAATGGTTTTATTAAGGTTGATAACTTGAATTTAACTCTCTCCCCTATCTTGTCAAGAAGATTGTGGGCTAACTAAAAGAGATTATTTATATATATATATATATATATATAAACTGACATGAGGAGATATGGTCTTTTTACAATATGAATAGAAAATATGAAACTTTAAACTAGGCAAGATTTTATGACTCAGTATTTGAATTTTATTGTTTAATTTGATTTTGAAACCAAACAATTTAAATTTTATAGACGAATCACAATTTAATTTAATTAAAATCAACATAATATCATCCTGAATTTAATTACATATTTAGATAATTTATTTAATTGTATATATTATTAATGTACTTTTTCCTAAATTATAATAACTAAATTTTATTGATTAAATATGTTTTGATTATTACAATTTAATTTCACTAAATTAGTGACTTTCGATTAAAAATATATTAAAATATAATTCTTTTTTTAATTTGGATATTTAGTTTGAAAAATAATATCTCCGGTCGAAAACTGGTCCGATTGTGGAAAAATGAAAATACCCGATTGTAATCGAACCGGGTCGTATTTATATTTCGTTTTCCGCAGTTGCTCCATATTCGCCAAGTTTTGCCTTCTCTCTCGGGAAACCCCAGACCACGCTACCAGAGCTTTTTCTTGCTTATCAGTGTTGTTCCTTTTTGGAATTTGGAATAGGGAAGAATGGCTACTTTGGACTCCGATGTGCCCATGGTTCCGGTTGGCGAAGCTTCAAGCAGCAGCGCTCCTTCCTCTTCCGCCAAGAAGCCCAAGCGTTTCGAGATCAAAAAGTGGAGCGCCGTCGCTCTCTGGGCATGGGGTATATCTTTCAAAACCCTTGCCGTAATACGTTTTGTTCCTTTTCGTATATGTGTTGGTCTGTGTGCGTATGTATATATGTGTGTGTGTGTGTGTGTGTGATTATGCGTTAGGGTTTCTAATCTGTGTTGAATTTGGGTTGATGAACGCAGATATTGTTGTAGATAACTGTGCAATCTGCAGGAACCACATTATGGATCTCTGTGGGTCTTTTTCCCCTCTTGATTTAATTGCAATCTCTCTCTTGCATTAGATAAAGAAATCTTGATTTTCTTTTGCGGGCGATCTGATTGTTTACTGGTTTAATGGTTAGGCATAGAGTGCCAAGCGAACCAGGCTAGCGCTACCAGCGAGGAATGCACTGTTGCTTGGGGTATGCTTCTACTCTACATTTACCGACTTAGTTAATTTCTTCTAGAAGCTAGTTTACAAGGCCCATAGCTCTTATTTGTGTATTTTTATTATTTTATTATCGGGGATGAAAGAATATTTTTGGTGTCACTAATTGCAACACTTATAGGAGAGCATGCTAGTTGAGGCATTTCTTGGGCTTTTGCTTATAATAGGTTTGATTTACATAGTACTTCAGGAGAACTTAATTCTATCTTATGATCCATGTTTTCCTTCTTAAATTCCTTCATTTTAACCATGAAAAAATGCCAGAAAATTGTTGTCACCCACTTCTTTTTTCCTTTTCTCTTCACTTTCCATCTCCATCAATCATAGCATATAGCAAAATGATTAAAACAATTGTATGCAGCATACCTATTTGGGCCTAAGCGAATACAAATATCTGGAGCTTTGAGTTGAAAGGGCCAGAAATGACTGATAGTGTCTTGTCACTTGAAGCAGTAAAAATAAGAAGCCTTCTGAGCTTAAAGGATCTTGGATTATTATCTTAGCAGAGGCTTACGTTTCTCTTCCTTTTGCTCATATAGTTTCCCTCTGCTTCCTATGTGTTGATGCCATTGATATTTTTATGTGTCTCATTCACATTTGGCATTTCTTGTGATGATTTGCTTTAAATTTGTTTCCATATTCTGATCCTCATTAGTTCATTACTGGGAAAGCATATGGTGGTTATGACTTTGTAATATGTTTTGAATTGATTGTATAGATCATGTCCATAGCTGTACTCTTATATAGAGTAGGAGTATTAGAATATAGTTAACATTGATTATCTGCTAATGAGCTTTCTTTTTTTTCTTCTTGGTTTTGAAGATATAACTAGCAGTTCTATTGTTTCTTTTTTGTTTCTTCTTGGTATGTAAGATACAAGTGACCAAACCTGATATTCGTTCACCTTATATTCGTTATTGATTTTATGTTCAAACTTTTAGCTCATGATGGACTATAATTTAGTAAACATATGTTTATCCCTCAATCTTTGGATTACTTTGTTTTATTCCTCAAGTAGTAGCACAGTTCCTATTTATGAGAATGTCTCTCACCGAACTCCCTACTTTCATTTTGAGGGAAAGAAATAAAGGAGTTTTTTGAGTGGCACCTTTTCATGGGATTAATGGCAACTGGTTCAGACAATAAATTTATGGTTTTCTGGTAAACTGGTTTCTGAAGGAGAGTTTAATCACCTGATAGATTTGTCTACTTGTTTGTATCTAATAACTTTTTTTGTACATGGGTACTCTTGGTGCCTTCTTAATAATATTTCACAGTACTTCTCTTCTAAAGAAAAAAAAAACATATTTAAAGTAGATTCCACTTTATTTTCTTTTAAAGCATGACATCCCGATGTGAAGTCCACAATATCACTTCATCAACATAATTCATGGCTTATGATTTTTTTCTTGTGTATGTTTTAATTATCTTACTAGTTTCTTTTGTTTAAATGAGCTTCTTCTATTCTTTTTATGGAGCTATATCTGGACCTGTTAGGGTTTGGACCCATGGATTTATGCTTCTTTCATATATATGGTGCTTAATGTTAAACTAGGCCAGATTATCGCAGTCTATGTGCTTCATACATGAGTTTTGACATTTGTGATATATGACAATAG